ATCTCGTTACCCTCGCCATCCCACAGCCCCAGGGGTCGGGCCACGCGCCAGCCGGGCCTCCGCGGCCCACCCACCGCTGTCACTCCATCACACTCCATCCCCGCTCAAGCCCCTAGTGTGGGTGGCTTCAAGGGAGCATCTCGTTACCCTCGCCATCCCACAGCCGCACGCGTCTGGCCACGCGCCAGCCGGGCCGCTGCGGCCACCCACCGCTGCCTGGACTCGACGCTGACGGCGAGCACGCGGTTGACGTGGATCATGGGCTGCGAGAGCAGGCGCCAGGTGAGCGGGTTCAGCAGGGACGAGGCGTAGCGCCACTCCAGCTCGATGGCCGTCGGCTCGCCGGTGAACGACACCGGCGTCAGCGAGCTGTAGTCCTGGCCCGGTTCGAAGAACATGTCGCTGCAATGACCGGCACCAACGACGCAACATGTCAGCGTCGTCCGACCGCGCCAGGCGCTCAGTCAGGCCGTTGGAGCTTCGCGGGATCGGGAGATGGCCGAGGGTGGTGTCATTGCTTGACGAGATGCGGTAGATATACTATGCGTGGAATAGACCATGGTGATCTAGTAATCCATAATCGTTCGAGGCCCCACGAAGCAGCATGATATCTTTTGAGTAGAACTGTGAGGTGCCACGTTCTTCAAGTGACAAATTGATGGAACAAAGTCCAAATCGCCTGTACTGTAGTGACTTACAACTATACGCCACCGAAAACCAGTTAGCTTCGACAGCAGGATTTCGTCTGCATTGTTTCTATAAGATGTCTAACTAGTTTTCAGTACAGTAGCTCAACCTCATATCAACACAAATGGTGCACACCATGATACATGCGATCGCATGTGCTACGTGCATAATTATCATTCCCGCGGTCATCGCGCTGCGTCAGCCAGCTGCTGCGTCGTCGTAGCCGGAGGCCGTCACGGTCCTGCCTGCGGCGGGGCTGCGAGGACCTCCGTAGCGCTTACCCCTGGCTGAAGCGATGCCAGGCGCTGCTGTTCTTGGCGCTGTGGAAGCGGACGCTGAGGGTGCCCATGTCGCCGCCGTGCCGGACCGCCGCCGGGATGTCCGACAGCGAGACGGTGACGCGGATGTGACGCCCTGCGCGCGGGGTCACACCCACCGACGTCATGGAGAGGCGTCACACGGGCCAGGGGCGTCAGAGCGGAAGGGATCACGTACATAACAGGGATCACGTACAGAACGCACAGATCACGGTCATGGTGACAGGGGACCACAGCAAGAGGGAATGTCGCAGTGAGAAGAGGTCACAGCGAGAGGACGTCGCAACAAGAGATCACAGCGAGAGAGGTCAATGTGAGAGGAAGTCGCAGCGAGAGGAGGTCACAGAGAGAGCCACCGCGAGGGGTCACAGCGAAAGGCGGTCAAAGCGAGAGGAGGCCACGGTGAAAAGAGGTCACAGCGAGAGGAGGTCAAAGCAAGAGGAAGTCACAGCGAGAGGGATCCACAGCGAGAGGTCAAGGCAAGAGGAGTTCACGGTGAAATGAGGTCACGGCGAGAGATCAGAGTGGTCGGGTTTGTCACGAGAGTATCTTTAAGGACGTTCACTATTTTGTAACATCAATGTTCTGTGGCTGAGGTGTTGTGATGTAGCAAGTGCGCGGCAAAACTAAGCTGATCTGCAGGCTTGGCGGACGGTCAGGTGGACCGTTCCAGCGTTAAAGGAGCCGCTGAAATTGTGCTCTGTCATCCGGCATTGCCAGCGGCATCAGCGACAGCGGCTGAGCGCAGTGGCGTGGAGAGCGGAAGGCGAGGATTTCCAGTCCCGAGTCACACCGCTAGCAGCGGCGCGCCCCCCCCCCCCCTCGGAGTGTTCCGCCCGGACCCCGACCTTGGTCTCCCTGGAGGACCGCTCCGCCGGCCGCCCACGGTCACTCACTGCAGAAAGGGACCGCGTTGCCGGTCATCAGGTAGAAGGTGCGGCCGACGGGCGGCGGCACCAGCCCCAGCAGGTCAAGCGGCGGCTGACTCAGCTGGCGGATCTTGGCCCGGTCGAGCGGCGTCAGGTGGCGGTCCGCGTGGTAGCCCAGCCGGTGGCAGTTGCCGTGGTCCGGGGAGCAAATGCCGCACTCACCCTGCGCGAACTTGTCGTAGCTGCGGGCACGGTGCGGCGGTCAGCGGTACCACTCAGCGGGACCGCGCTCGTGGGAAGGATCAGCAACGACCAGCTGAACGGTCACGGTGGGTCGGCACTGTTATAGGGCATAGCCTGGGACTGGAGAGCTCATGTAGCCGATCCATGACGCGCTACAGTATTTTCAAATCCGGTGGCCTCATTAACGTTGGTGATTTGATGATTCAACACACATGGCATTTTAAAGCCGGGGAGGCCTGGAGAGACGCCTGGAGAGACCTGGGCCAGAACAGGTAGCTTGGTTCATTGCTTCCGATTTAAATTGCGCGCAGTGGAGGGAGGGGCGGACCTCGCCACCCCCGCTGTCTGCCATCAAGAGAACTGCAGAAGATAACGCAATACGAAGACATACATCTCTGAGATACTTCCTTAAGCGGCACAACCATTGAATACAGTTTCCATTTACCTAGGGTCAGATATGAAAGTCAGACCAAGGTCGAAACGAACCTGTTTCATAACTCTAGACCTTGCTGTATGGGGTGGTTTGTGGTGCTCATTTCAAAGTGATTGATGACAGGAACCGCATTGCACATTTGCCATGGAGTTCTTAATGGTCACAACAGGTCACTGACCTAGAATGACCTAGGTGAACTTGTTGTTTTTAGATGTATAATGCTGAGTGTAATATTTGTCGTTTATTCAAATGTAAAACTCAAAGCAGTCTTCTATGATTTTGGTCATCATGACCTTCAACATGTCAAACAACGTCACTGACCTGAAATGATCATGTGACCTTTTGCTTAGAATAGTTATCTAAATTCTGGGGAACTTTATTAACCAACTTTGAGTTTGACCTTGTTTGACCTTATTTTTCTCGGTCATCACCTAGGAACCTCAAACTTTGATCAAGTGAGTTCGCGTACCGGCCAACACGCGCTGTAAATTCAATGTCTCTAGTTCTCTTAGTTCCTGAGATTTCAGGGGGTCAAACTGACCCCCACCCGAGCGAAGGGTATCCAAGCGGCACAAGCGGGCGCGTGTTAAGTGCCACCTGAGGTGAACTTAAGTTAGGGCTGTTGACATGATATTACGATTGCAATAGAAATGCAACATTGACCTCATCCCCACCCCAGGCAGGCAGCGCGGCCCCTCTGACCTGTCGCACTCAACAGCCATGAAGCCACACTGGCGTTGATGGACTCGGTGAAGAACTCGTACGCCCGCAGGTGGTTGCAGCCGATTGAAGCGCCTCAGGCCTGCGAGCGGACACGGGGGTGGCAACCGGTGAGTTAGTGCCTCCGGGGTCGACAGGCCGGCGCCGACCCAGTGACCGACATGGACGCTCGCTGACTCATTCACTGCAATCTGTCACCATGTCACTTCTCCATGATGCAGTTCTCATGGGCGTGCATGACGTACAGCAGTCGATTGCGCCCTCTAAACTCCAAATCATCATCATCATCCATGATGCAGGCTAGCCGTTGGTGGTTGAGAGACTGAGTTTGCAGTGAGTAGCACAGTCATCTCATGATAATCCACCCCATCCGTTGCCCCGCCGCTTTGCAAATGCCGAACCCATCCAATATCCAGGCCGATGCGCCACAGAAGCATATATCTTCCAACTACCTGACCCCATCAACTAAGCACTTAATATCAAATCCCGAATGCGGCCGCATGTGGAGGCGCATTTTCTGACCGCGTGGTGTACCAATAGATTTGTAATCCGACCCCAATCGGCTTCCTGCCGTTCCTTGGTGCTGCCTAAGACTTGAGCCGGATCCAACCCTTGGTCACGTCGTCGGACGCTTTTCCTGGTCTCGTCTAGTCAATCCATGGCTTAATCCTAAATCCATAGATTCATAGAATTCCAGGACAAACTCTATAACTATGTGATCGGAGCGCCGCATGCTCACGAAACAAAAACATTGCACTCGTCGTCTTCGCCCGGTGCGAACTCGTTCGGTGGTTGGAAGAAACGTCCAACCTTGCGCGCGCACCAAAACATCGCTGACAAAGAGAGCGCGTTCACGGGCTGTAGGCACCAGCCGCCCGCATCGGCATTGGAACCAGCTCAGTCTGGCCAGCCGTACCGTAGATGAGGCTGCCCTCCTCCTTCTTGATGGCGTCGAAGACGCTGGTGCCGCAGCCCGGCTGCTTCTTGCCACCGTTCGGGAAGAAGTCCATGTGACCGATCGGCTGCAGCAGTCCCAGGCCTGCGGACAGCAGCACATGTGCGTTTTTATGCCTCAGCCCCTGTTGCGTATATAATAAATACAGACGACTGGCATGTTATTGGCCACGTGAGGGCATGCAGTGCTGAGGTCGGACGGGTCAAGGCTGAGATATTGCCCGAAGAAGTCTGCATTATATCAATATGATCGTCGTAAACAAAAGTGTTCAATTCAGACGTTGAAACATCGACTTTGCTTGGAAATATCGTATAAAATATTGTAATATCGTGGTAGGTGACGACTTAAAATCACAAGCCAATAATACTATGAACAGAGTAGGGGCATTCAAATACAGATGAGGCCAGGTAAAACGAACGCATCGTTTCGCTATTGCTGAGGCGCTAAACAAAAATCCACGTTAGCCATTGCTCTCTGCCATCGGTTTTGCAGAGATCCTAATCATATCAAATTACACATATAATCAATAAATTAATGAACAGCCCCGCAAACCTGGTCCAACGAGGTCCAATGTCGTCACTTATCTGCCTTTCCCGTTAAACGAGCGCACCGACAGTCAAAACCAAATACGTAGAATCCACTGAAACGCTGCTAATGCGTTGATCATTCTTCGGACGATTATTGCTAATTGTGCTATCAACACTGAACTCGTATGGCACAAATTAAACTTAAATCAAGTTGAGATGTGGAAATTCACGTCAGATGAGTTTGTAAAGGTCGGACCGGCTGACGTGCTAAGCTTCTCACAGACCGTTAACAGTGCAGAGAGCTCACCAACTACGCATCAAAGGGAAATGCCAGTAGCAAAACGGCCTATTCACTCGTTTCTCGGGAACTGTGAGAGGAGAAATTGACTTAGAGTGACGAGCTCAGCGCGAAACGCGTCGAAGAACTCCCGACACCAGTGGATCCGATCCGAGCCCATGACACATCGCAGGCAGTACCCGCCTCGGCCCCCCCAATTCGCCACACCGTGCGAGCTGGGGTGCTGGGGAGAGACAGTGCCACGCATGGAAGCAAAGCGCGGCGGTGGATCGATAGCGCGAGAGAAACCATACGAGACCCCCAGCGCGCTGTCAACACGCTAGAAACACCGCACCAGTGGCAGTCTGTGGCAAGGCCCCGAATCCTTTGCGTCTTGGGTGCCAGAAGCAACCCAATGAAGGCACGACTCACGCCACCATCCAAAGTACCGGAAAAAGCCATATCGAAGTCCTGCCTCGAGTGCGGCACACGCCCGAATCCGACCAGGCCCGCTTCACATCGGCTGGTTCATAAGCACCGGAAACCCATTTCCGTTCCGGATACTGGATATCCCCCCCGCCCCCCCCCCCCTGTCACGAGGCCCTGAACAAGTTAACCACGGCGTCTCGTATCTCGGGCGCAACGAGCTGCCGAGCCTGACGCAAACAACGGACGCCATACCCGTTCCAGCTGGAGCCCACCACGCGCTGATCACCGCCGGCGGACACGACTTCCGCACAGCTGGTCACGGTCAGATAACTGATGAGCTGTTCATCGACGCGCGCGGATGTGAAGGTTATCAGCTTAGGACACTGGCGTCTGCTCTCTCGGTGCCGAGGCAACGGCCACCGACGCCGGCCGCTGCCGTCTGGGGCCTTACGCCCGAGATGAGAGGGCCGCTGTCGGTATGGATGACGTCGACGAAGCCGGCGTCCGTGGGGTCGAGTCGCACCACCGGGTCGGTGTTCTCGAAGTGCGGCTCTGCCGGGTCCAGGCCAGTGATCCTGCCCAGCCGCACGCCACGCTGCTGCAGGAACACGCCCACGTAGCCGGCCAGGTGGGCGCCCAGGCTGTGGCCGATCACGTGAACCTGCTCGGGCGGCGTGTCGAAAAGCTTCTGCGGGGGGGGGGGCACGAGCCAGGTCAGCGGGGGAACACGGAGATCGGCCCCACCCACGTCTTCGAATCACACTCTCCTCTCTCATAGGCCCCAGTGATGGAACGGGGTCAATGGGGCACGGTTTGAACTGGTTCACGCACTGCATGCCCCCGCCTATGAGGCCCGACCGATGCAGGACAGAGACGATACACGTCCATGCCCCGCTCCGCGAGGCGGCAGGCCACCACGGCTGATAGTTCTCTAGAACATCTGAGGAGATTCCGGCAGGAGGAGTTGCCGCGTCTGATGGCACTGGCACTGGACACCCGACTCGGCCTTCAGCAGGCGGATGAAGTTGCCGACGACGGCGCCCACCAGCCGTATGTTGGCCACCGCCTGGGTGTAGGGCGGTCCGGGAGCCGCCCACCCAGTCCACCACCTACCACGTTCATGGGCTCAAACTCCCAGCAGCGCCGCAACCATCCTCTGCAACGGCGCCGGCAACGTGTCACGCTGCCGGCCGTCTCCACGCGTATTGTTGTTCGGCAGCTGTGCCATTGTCATTACATATACAATTATACACACAAAATAGACACGCTGTAGATATGTGTAAATATACCGATGCATTATATATATATTCTATATATATATATATATATATATATATATATATATGTGTGTGTGGGTGTGTGGGTGTGTGGTGTGTGTGTGTGGGTGTGTGTGTGTGTGTGTGTGTGTGGTGTGTGTGTGTGTGTGTGTGTGTGTGTGGTGTGTGTTGTGTGTGTGTGTGTGTGTGTGTGGTGTGGTGTGTGTGTGTGTGTGTGTGTGTGTGTGTGTGGTGTGTGTGGGTGTGTGTGTGTGTTTGTGTGGTGTGTTTGTGTGTGTGGTGTGTGTGTGTGTGTGTGTGTGTGGTGTGTGTGTGGTGTGTGTGGTGTGTGTGTGTGTGTTGTTGGGTGTGTGTGTGTGGTGTGTGTGTGTGGGGTGTGTGTGTGTGTGTGTGTGTGTGTGTGGTGTGTGTGGGTGTGTGTTGTGTGTTGTGTGTGTGTGTGTGTGTGTTGTTGTGTGTGTGTGTGTGTGTGTGTGTGTGTGTGTGTGTGTGTGTGTGTGGTGTGTGTTGTGGTGTGTGTGTGGGTGGTGTGTGTGTGTGTGGTGTGTGTGTGTGTGTGTGTGTGAAGTGTGGTGTGTGTGTGTGGTTGTGGTGTGTAGTGTGTGTGTGGTGTGTGTGGGGTGTGTGTGTGTGTGTGTGTGGGTGGTGGGGTGGGTGTGTGTAGTGTGTGTGTGTGTGTTGTGTGGGTGGGTGGTTGTGTGTGTGGGTGTGTGTGTGTGTGTGTGGGTGTGGGTGTGTGGGGTGGGGGGTGGGGTGTGGTGGGGTGGTGGGTGGTGTGGGGGGGTTGGTGTGCGTTGCGTGGTGTGCGTGTGTGCATGCGTGCGTGCGTGCGTGCCTGCGTGCGTGCGTGACGTGCCTGCGTGGGTGTGCGTGCGTACGTGTGTGCGTGCGTGTGTGCGTGCTGTGCGCGCGTGCGTGTTTTTGTGCGTGCGTACGTTCGAAATGTAATCAGAAGGACCACAAAGCAAAGCTAAGGTTTCTATGGTGTGGATTGCGTACATTAGATATACCTTAAGATATACCCTAATATGTAATAATACCTTAATCCAGCGTTTCTCGCCCGAGTCCAGATAGCCGTGCACCAGGAACTTCACCGGCTTGCCCGCCATGAACGATGACGTCCCAATGGACAGGATGTCGTCGTACATACGCTGAAATAACACAGGCGTCGAGACGGGCAGTGTGATTGACGCTGATAAGGTTATTGCGTGGCGTGAGAGACCGGGATGCTTGTTAACTGAAAGTTGATAGCACGTTAGCAGTAAAGCGGGTGTTGCAAACCGGAGACATCATGTAGCGTACAGCTCTCATTACACGAAGATCACTTCGCATACAGATGCTAAGCAAGACGGTAGCAGATGAGAAGGCTAACGTCCTTGGGCGTTTGCCTTACCTCACACTCGGTAGGGTTGTTAGTGGTGTAGAGGCAGAACTTGACGTTGATGGCCTTAGGTGACTGCGGCAGGACGCTGATTGGTCGAGAGAGTGAAATCCACTCCTTGGTGATAGCAAAGCAGCCGTATATGCCGTAACATTTCTTGACAAGCGCTGAAATAGTCCCCGCTCTTAAGCAGTCTAAACACAAAATGATACCTGGATAAGACAGTAGTATTAGCCTTATTCCTCGGAAAAAAGGACAATGGAGATACAGTTAAGTTGATATTTCGGCAACATGCCGTTATCAAAACCATGGCATAAGTGTTATTGTTTTATATTTAAAACACGCATCTTCTGCTATTGTTTCGATAAAGGCATGTTGCCGAAATATCAACCAAACTAGATCTCCATTCTCCAGTTTTTTCCCGAGGAATAAGGCCAATACTACAGTCTGACCTCTGTGCATAATGTTCCTCACTAGCGCACTGAACAACTTACAAAATTTGACCACTTCGGTGTGCTTCGTGTGCATTGTGATCCTATGAAAGCCAGGGGTGGGGTCTTGGATGTTAAGCTGACGACCTGACTTGCATTTTCGACAGCATGGGCTGCTTAGTCCCACGTTGCTGCACTCTGTTTTGTTGATTCGTAGGAAAGTGCTCCTCGCACCACAACTAGACAAAACAGCCATGAGGTGAAAAATGACCTTCTGAATCAAGCAAGCTACTTGAGGAGTGATCTAAATGTGCGTTCAGCAAACTTCTAAACGGCTCAGCATTCACCGATGCTGTCATGGTGTCCAGTGGAGGGCTGAGTTCAGAGCAACTGCCACGACTGTGTCTCTCGGTCTGCAGCCTCGGGGAGTCAAACTGGCACGGCTGCGTCTCCTGGCCCACAGGCTCGGGGAGCCAAACTGGCACGGTTGCGTCTCCTGGCCTGCAGGCTCGAGGAGCTGAACTGGCACGGCTGCGTCTCCTGGCCTGCAGGCTGGGTGAGCTGGACTGGCACGGCTGAGCCTGCCGCCTCCTGTGTGGTCCGCGGGTGGGGGACGCAGCGCCGGCTGCCGCGGCGGTGTGCGGGCCCGGGCCCGGGTACTGACCTGTGGTCTCGTTGTCGCCCAGCGGCACGGTGCGGGCGGCGGCGCGCGGCGCCGGCTGGCACCCAGCCACGCCCAGAAGCGTCACGCAGCAAAACACCACCAGGCCGGGGAGCGCCGCCGCCACCATCGCAGCGGCAGCCGCCTGTCGCACACAGACGTCACAGACCGTCACGTCAAGTCACAGACACGCCATCGACCGTCACATCTTGAGTCGGCGCACCAGGTGAGCACGCGGCAGCGGTGCTACTAGTGCCATCAGGAGCGTGCGCGAGTATGGTGAAGAAATACATGCGCGCAACAATGAGCCCATGCACCGCTTTTTTCACCGAAATCCAACGCTATTGTGACCGTACTCGATTTTTTCGGGATATCGCCAAGGTGATCTTCCAGTTCGAAAACAGCGCGTGGTCAAAACCTAATGAATGGTTAAAAAAGCATATTACTTCCAACTTATTGACTCGCACTGATTCGATACCAGCGTTACAAGGTGTGGTACCACTTTTGCAGCTCCTTTCAGCATAAAAGCGCTTGAATATGTGCAAAACCTTATAAGGTGCAATGACGCATATGTTTGAAACTACGATATGTCATAACCCACCAACAAACCCTTCATCTTTTCACTAATCTGTTTCACGCAGCAGGCGACATTTGTTGTAGGTCAGCGGTCTCGACAGACGAGGGGTGCGCACTGATGATTCAAAATCGATAGCGATAGGTTTGTAGACACACCCCTGGCATTTGAGACCAAACCATGTGTCATACATAGACGACTAACCATATCCAAACTTAGAAAGACCACCTGACTAACACAAATGATTTACCAATCTATCCTGAGTCAATAACTCCCATTTTGTGATTTGAAACTGATGTATAGGAGGGATGTTGCTGGAGTTTTTCCGCTTAGTCGTCCTGCACGGCTTAACGTTTGACACCATATGACAGTCTAAACGAAATGTAGAGCGATCACTCAAAAGTGTCACTTTCTAAATCGGTGGGGCGGGGGATGGGGCTGGGTCAATAAAGCTGACCAAACCCTTCCTCAAATTCAGATTTCTCTGCGGATTTCAGCCACTTTGCTTTACGTCCCTGATGACAAAATCCAAATAAAAAAGAGCATTTGGTCGGTTTTAAAGTTGTTTTGATGTTGAGAAATAAGTTCCCATTTAAAGCCGTCATGATAGTGTTAATCATCCTATCTTATGATGATATTGATCGGGACGAGCATAAGTACCTAGTGTAGCAGTGTTTTCGAAGTTTCCTGAATTTCATGGGCCCAGTACTCTGATTTTGCTGATATGCATTGCGGGGCTTAGAAAAATCATTCTCAGTGACGCCCTCGCGTGCACTGCCGCGAACATACAAAAGTAGTGTCATTACGTACCACATTCTAGAGTGGCGTCCGTTTTGCGGTGATCAAGATTTTGCGGACCAGAATAGTGCTATAAAGTAGTGATACCTATGAAATTCAAACGGGGTCGCGTAAACCGCTTTGGCAATACCGATACGGATGACCGAACATGGCGTCGCTGAATGACCTCTGGGAGAAGGGGCAACGTCCCACATCGAGACATGTACGACACACCATATCCAACGAACCCCGAGAAGGTGGGTGGAAGGTGGTGGAAGGTGGAAAGGTGGAAATCGCAAGAGGATGCCATTTCACTCCTAGTGTCCACCCACCCTTCTTCCCCCACTCTTGGTTCACAACGTATCCCCGCGACGCTCCGTTTAACTGGGGCAAGTTTCATGCATCAGCCAGGAGTGGGCTGGAGCGCCTGTCGGTGAGGCCCTGTCCGAGCGCCGAGCACACACTCCGTTCAGGGCCCCTATGCAGGCTGGGTCTCCTCGGATGGACCCGCATGTGCATGTAGCCTTGCTCCACTATTATCCATCTCCTTCATCTCACAGCTCTGAAGTGGTTATGACTGGCCGAAAGCACTCTAATCCAATCAAACCAAACCCTCCAAACTACTGGTGACCTTCCGTAGCTCACGACGTCTTATTCATTTCATCATCTGCGTCATGCATGATTCTTCACTCATTCATCACTTCACTTGCAACTCCGTGCGGGCGGTTTCGTACTGCACGCTGATGTCACGGGCCGCCCAGCGGCCGCCGCGGGTCACGCGTGCCCGGCCCGGTCGGCCTGGCGGTCACGAGAGCCGACCCTGTGTCAGCGCTCCTCCCGCCGCCTGGCACGGCCGGCGCCGCCGCCCGACTCGCCGCCATCAACGCCGCCCGGCGTGTCGCAAACACGTGACTGACCGAAAAAAGATCATGCGTCGGTTGCTACATACTTTGGGCCGCTATCACTTTCACCGAAATGCGGTGACAGGGCAGCTGCCGGCGCGCGAAAGAGTCTTCTCCTGAGGTGGGTGTTAGCCAACGGCCTTTGGGCAGAGTCCTTGTCACAATTTCAGCGCCCATAGAATTGCTCCTGTGAATGGTTATTTTTAGTATGTCAGCGGAATGGTGTTTTTGGATAAGCTTGTTAGTGTCCAGGGTATGTCTTACCAGACGTGTGGCTACGCAAGCCGACCAGATGAGGTGAGGTTCCCTCGCTTTTCCTTCCTATCTGGTGCCAACGGCCCAGCCGAAGTTGCGAAACACTAACAACTCTTGGCACTGACAAAAATCGGAACAGAAAACTGTCTTCCATACTTCTCAATCGGTCCAAAATCAGAAAATCTATCGTACCCAAATAAGGACCACCAACTTTCCTATTAATGTTTGCATCCCTTCCAGATTCAAAAAATATCTGTTGCTCACTGTGTGTGGTCACAGGTCTGAAGTAATGAACCATTTCATCCTCTTTTGCCAACTTTCTCGACACCTCAGACGCAATCACTCTGCTATCACGTCACGCAAGTGTAAGGTCCCCGTATTAATAAATTTTTAAACACGAACAGCATGCACGCATTCATGCACGGAATAAAAAACAACAGCGAGGATGGTCGGGTGCTCGCGATGGGCTTTCAGGATCACATCATCACAGCATCAATGCTGCGGAATGAGGCGGAGGGGGTGGCAGTGGTGGCGACTGGCGCTGCGGCGAATATCATGTCCGCGGCTGTCTTCTTCTATTTTTTCTTTGGGGAGGTGTTCAGATTCAAGTGCTATGGCTCATGCACCAATCCTTTGTTTAAAACATTTTTATCGTGCTGCTTGTCGCATTGTCAAATGTAATGAAAAACAAAAACGAGCATATCTTACATGCAACATCACTATATAGCATTATCACATTTTCTACAGCTATAAATATAGCCATTATCCAAGGCGCGTCTAGTCTCAGAAATGTTGTGTCAATCAATTTGCATTGCTTTCGCAGCATTATTATCGCACAAGTGCGACGCAAGCGAGTGGCAAATTAAATGGCTGTCAATTTTTTATTCGGGTTCGGGGTCAAATTAATCGGCCGCAACCATAAGCTGTCTGAGAATCATTGTCAGCAAAAATCCAGATGACCTGGAATAAACCGGCAATGGTCCATGTTGCCCACCGCTTGACCCCTTGGCTTGTGTACCAAGCATGTAGCATGTCTCCCACTTCAGCTGTTTCCTTGGCAACTGCGGGCCCCATTCCAAGTGCCAGTAGGTCAGCTGATACACATGAGGAGGCCCCCGGGAGGCCCGACAGACTTGAGGCCACCACGTGACGCGGGCTGACAACGCCAGCGCCCGATAGTGGTACCGACCGCTCCCCTCCCCTCCCCTCCAAGCGCTTTTTACACCAACAAGTACCACCCAGAGCCGGCGCCTGCCAGCACGGGCCGGTCACCACCTGGAGACAGGGGCCGGGACGGGGCCGAGCGCGGCGTCAGCTGGGGCGCCAGCTGGTCCGTCCAGTCGCCCTTGGCCGGCCCCGTCCGGCGCCGGGCGGCCTTCCAAGGCCGGTCACAGCGGGGCGGCCACATTCCGGCCCACGGAAACGGGGCCAGCGAGACTCTGATATCACCCGGGCCTTCCACGGCCCGCGCGGGCGTGACCAGCCATTGTTGCTGAACGTTCGCCACTTTTTGACGCTCATGGTCACCAGATGCGGTTAGGTTCACGGCCAGAGGGTTGCTCTGTCGTATTTTTTGTGCCTAGATTCTACTCACTGGTGTGTGCTACATAGACGTAAGGCAGACACCACCGCAGCAGCTGCTCCGTACAGCGCATGGAGAACAAACAGCAATGGTCTCGGTCTCTCGGTTAACTAACGCTTTCATCCTCCCTCCCCGAGAGTAAAATGACTCCATTTTCGTAGTTCGTTCGGTAGTACGTACAGCACATGCTTGGCTGGGTTTTCTGAAAATGATTTAGAATGATCATGTTGCCGCCCAGGCGAGAGATTGCCGAATTGGAGCGGACTTTGTGGCTGATGCGAGCCCAAATGCATTCAGTTAACAAATACCTGTCCCATAACATACGGAGGTTCCACACGGCAAGACTCTGACAAACCGGACACATGCTTAAACTTATACGTCTGGCACGATTTCGGATGATAACAGCAAAGCCGGCGAAACGAGCTGAGAGGGCTAAAGTGGTGTCAAGGAAGGAGCTACGCAGAGAGCGGGTTTCACGGAGCCGGGCGGACACAGAGCCGGAGCCGGGCGGACACGAAGTTGGGAGCACACGGAGACGGGCGGATACGAAGCCGGTCGCACACGGAGTTGGCGGATACGGAGTTGAGAAGACACAGCGCGAGGTGGACACAGAAACCGGAAGAACTCCTCCGTCGTGACCATGAACATGACATTGTTACTGACCAACGAAAACAAACACAGAATGGCCATATCCGTGCCGAAGGAGACGCGCATGAGGAAATACAACGCCCGGCTTGTCTTCCCTAGCCCTGAATCCTGCGTCTGGGTAAAAGTAAAAACAAATTCACCTGTTTCACGTTGACATGAATATGAAGGGTGCGAGAAAGAGAGAGAGAGAGAGAGAGAGAAAAAAAAAGAAGAGAGAGACCTATAGAGACCTATATACCCTAGAGAGACCTGTACCTATATGTATATACATATATATATATATATATATATATATACATCTAGGTACATATACATATCTATCTTTATCTCTCTCTCTCTCTCTCTCTCTCTCTCTCTCTCTCTCTCTCTCTCTCTCTCTCTCTCTCTCTCTCTCTCTCTCTCTCTCT